TGGATGCAGACATCCATGGCTAGGCCCCTGGTGGAGCGCTGGTTGTAACCAATCTTAACAGTATTAATCAATGCTAAACAGTGTAAATTGCCCCAGTGCTCCAGGGAGATGTGGGTCACTGTGATAGGTCTCCTGAGCCTTCAGCACCCTCTGTATACACTTTTCAATATCCTACAGCTAGAGACCCTGGAAGCATGCCAGGCTCTAGCTTCTGTCTTTGTGAACGTTCAGAGGCAGAGATCTTCTATATGATCATATTTGCTTTATTTATGTCAAGTCCCAGCTCTCAGATGTAGAATTCTAGGCCAAGAGGTGTTCACTGACATTTCTCAACCAGACTCCAGAGCTACTGGGAGAACTGTGTCTTATTCCCTTCAAATCTGTCAGCACAGTTGAGCATGTCCTCTTCCCTGGGATGATACCTCATCACCAAGGCCACACTAATCAGCAGGATTGTGTCTTAGAAGCCCAAATGTACACCCCCGCATTCCCATGGATTGTGCCATTCTGTTCTCACAAGCACATTCTGCTCATTGCAACCCTAAACTGCTGTCACTGGTTGAATCTGAAGAGGCTCAACCCACAGTAAATGACATTGAGAAAGCAGGCAGAACAGGATGCCTGTGACTGACCAGATACATTGTAATCAGGACCAGTCCAGAAGAGAACACTTTCTTTCAGGTCATGGGTCAATGCTTTTGTTCCCTTCCAAGCGCTTGGACTTAGACACTCTGCAGGAGCATGAGTACCATCAACAGCATTCAGGGAATGGAACCTCAAGACATCACCCACTTGCTTCATCTGGGAATTGATGAGGTTGAAGAAGAAAGAAATGATCAGTATATGGTTGGGCCAGGTGCTCTAATTATCTCTGTTTCTTTGCAGATGAAAGTGGACAGATGCTTGCCAGCTCAGTCTGCAGCCCATCCCTGTGCTTACCCATTCACCCTGGATTCTGATTCCATCTCTGATCATTCTCTTTTTGTTTCCTCCGTCCAGGAGCAAGTGAATGGATAACATTGCAGAATGTGAAAGGAAGTCAGGAGAAAGAGGGTGATCAGGGTGGCCTTGTGTTGGGGGCTGCAGCAGCAGGAGAAGGTACAAAAGAAGAGGTCAGAGATGAAGTTCCTGTTGGCAGTGCAGCTCTCGTGGATGGCAAGCCCAGCAGCAATAGCCAAGATAAGGGCCAAGGAGAGGAGCAGATCCCTGGAAGGACAAATGGCCATCAGCTTCTACCAGGTCCACCAGGCCGGCTGCACCGCCTCCGCCACAGGTTCACTGAGTTCCAGCTGCAGAAGCTGGAGCGTGTTTTTGAACGCAATCACTACCCCAGTGCTGAAGCAAGGTAAGAACAGTGTCTGGCTTGTACTGGGAACAGAAAGTACTCAAGGGAGGCCTCTGATCTTTCCCAGGTCCTTCTCTAACCGCTCTTAAAATAAAATCGGCCTACAGACTCCAGGCTACGAGACCCCAGTCTTCTGCACTTGGGTTCTGGGGTAAAGGGGAGTGGGAAAGCAGGAACAAAGATATTTTCATGAAGTATTTAAATGACTTGAAACAAGGTTAGAGCAGGAGTGAGAAGTCTGAGGGTGGCTGAGGAAATGCATGTTGGTGTTTGCTTAAAATTTCACTAAATTGTGCATCATGCAGTTTCTGCATTAAGTTATATTTTTATAAGTGCTTTGGGACATTTGTCTTAAATCACTGATTTCATTATTACTGTTGAGTATTTTGCAGGGTGGGAGAGGGAGTATTCTTCCCCTTAAAATTTCTACTCAAGAAAAAAAAAACTGTCCCTAAAAGCAAGATAAAGTGCTGAGTATAGTGACTTGCGGCCCAAGCAACACAGCTCAGGCAAAAGGCTCCCTGCAAATTCCAGGACATCTTGGGCTATAGCCTGAAACGTGATCTCAATCAATCAATCAAATCCGTGCTGCTAGTCCTGGTTTGCAATCTCTCCACTTGGGCACTTGGCAGGTGGCAGCATGAGGGTAAGAAGTTCAAGGTCATCCTCAGCTCCTTGGCTCCAGGAGGCCTGTGCCAGGAGAACAACAAAAGCAAACCCCAGAAGAGCCAAGAGCGCAACACCACAGTCTGGCTTTTCCTCTCTCCTCCCTCAAACCCTTCTCCTTTCTCCCCCCTCCCTTCCCCTTCCACTTACCTATCTCCTCTCCTTCCCCACCCCTCCTTTTCTCCTGATTCTCTTACTGATACAGAAACTCACTTTCCAGCCCAGGCTGGCCTGCAACTTCCAGAGAGCTTGGTTCAGATCCCTCATTCTGGTAGTACAAGCTTGTGCTGCTAGCATTGTGAGACTTTTAAACAGTGTTTTTGTACCTGTTGTGGCTTTAGTATTTTCTTTCCCTGATAATCAGCAGGTTGAACATTTTCGCATGATAATTGAACATTAGGAATTCCATTTTAATTAATCCATTTTCTTTTATTTGAATTTCTCTTTCCAGTCTGACAAAGTTCCCAAAACCTTTCCTCCGTGTGATTATGTTCACAGCTCTGTTGTATCAACACGTGTTGATGTCAGTAACATTTTGTATCATGTTTTGTTTTCTGTTTTAGTGATTTTCAAATTGTATCTGAGTGTCTTAGGGACTTATTCAGTTTTTTTCACATATCTATCACTAGCACATAGAAAATAAAATATCATTGGTAGAAATACATTTTAAAAGCCTCAAAGTCCTCAAAGTGAATGTCACAAAACAGATGATGCCAAATACCGAACATTTGCAACTTTTGCCCACAGAAAGGAACTTGCAAGATGGATAGGTGTGACAGAATCCAGAGTGCAGGTCAGTAACTAGAAAAAAAAACAGCCATTCTAGAACTTGTGTCAGGTCCTGGATACCTTTGTCCTATGGGTGAAGTTGTTGTGAAGATTTTACTTCTCTCTACTTGGTAAATGAGGGTTTTTGTTTTGAGGCAAGGGTCTCTCTACATGGCCCTGGATCTTGTGGAACTCACTTTGTAGACCAGGATGGCTTCCCTCACAGAGATCTGATTGCCTCTACCTCCAGAGTGCTGAGATTAAAGGCATGTGCCACCACCATGCCCAGCTGGGAAATGAGTTTTGAACTTTGTCGGTTTTATACATGGGAAACGGAATAAGCAAGTTCCACAATACCATAATGTCTCATTTTCAGAGAGAACATGACTTCCTAAATAAAAAAAAAATACTATTGAACAGTTATAGAGTTCATGACCCCCCGGGGAGGGGGAACACAGGCTCAGTTTGGATTATAATTAGCTAAATGTTTTAAAGCTGCTAGCAAGACAATAATCTCTGAGCTAAATTTGAGTTTGCCATGTGAAGGAGAGTGAGGGGAGGATTTTTAAGGGTGAAAAGCACAAGAAGACTCTGAACACAAGTAAGCCAGGAGCTGTTCTGCTCTGCCAGGACTAGGTAGTCAAGTCAACCTCATACTAGTCCTTGGATGTGTGCATAAGCAGGCTAGAAAAGCTGAAGTGCAGTTAGTCACCTGATAGCAAGCAGATAGTCACGGCTGTACATTTTTGTGGGGGAGGGTCACTAAGTCAGGGTTACTCATCTTCCAGTGTCTGGAGTCAGCAACAAATGGCTAGTGGGTACCAAGATGGATGCCGAACACAAAATGGAGTTTCTTTAGCCTTCACAGAACCAGTTTTATTCCTTAAACATAAGGAGACTCTGTGTTATTTATTTTTATGAATAAATTATTAATACATATTCTGAGTTACAAAAATGCACATTCATTCAGTCTATGTGCAAATAATTGTACAAATTATGTAGAAATGTATAGGTTATAGATGCATATAAAGTTATATTTAATTCTGGAGTCCTTTTAGGTAGCATTTGTGTGTAGAGTCATATTAAGCTTAAGGTTAACATATAAGTCACTCAAATTAGTGCAGTGTAGGGATTCAGGACAATGAATTGTTTTAAAAATAAACTATATTAACACTCTATACTTATGGAGGGAATTTATAAACATTCAGGTATTAGAGTGCAAAATCATTTAATTAAACAGAGACTGGTCAGAATGAGGGATGCCTCAAGTCCTGATGCTTAGTTTTCCTGGAAAAACCATTCATGAGCTTTAATTTTCTGAACCACACTGATGTGCTCTGAATACACCACTAACAAACTAGATTGTACATTGTAGTAGAGATAGATGAAGGTGAGCAGTCTTTGGAAATTTGTCCAAAAAGCTAAGCAACCTAAAAGAAACAAATTTGGATGGTTTTCAGCTGATCTGAGGAAATGTTAGGAAAGAATGATGTACAAACTTGCACCATGCTCACCCTACACACTGGGGCTGTTGGAAACCACTGCATGCATCCGTGACTATTTCCTGGAAGAAAAAAAAATGTAAGAATGTATTTCTGGCTTGGCGGTGGTGGCACATACCTTTAATCGCAGCAGCTGGGAGGCAGAGTCAGGATCTCTGTGAGTTCGAGGCCAGCCTAGTCTGCAGAGTGAGATCCAAGACAGGCACCAAAACTACACAGAGAAACCCTGTCTCGAAAAAACAAAACAAAAAGAATGTATTCTGTTTCATTTGTTGAGAGTAAAGAAGAGTTGTCATATGTGGGAACATGAAGCCCTTCATTTGCTCAGGCAGTGTAATTACTTACTAGTTGTAATAAGTTGACAATATGACTGCCTAGGTGAACACAAGCTGTAAAATGTGTGCCGGCAAAAGGCAGCGAGAAAGACAGGAAACATAAACACGAACTTTAGCTTTGGTGCTCAGAGCCTCCCCCCTCCCCCCGGATGGTGCAGTGATGGCCTACAGATCAAATTAAGATCTTTCTAGAATGCCAGAGCAATACAGGAGGCCTCTGAAGCTGTACCACAAGGTGATAGGCCAGGATCACAACCCGATCTGGCTCAGGTAAAGTTTCAGAACTTCACTTTGTCAAGTGAAGTCCCAGTTGGCCAACTAAGAAACTGACACTTGCTCAGTTGCTTTGTTCCTCCCTCAATTTACATAGCATACTCTCAATGGCATTCTGAGGGCAAAGTGACCTGACCACCATGAGTAAGGGGGAAGATAATGTTCCCATTTACTATCACACCTTTTGTTTTGTTTTGTTTTGTTTTTGTTTGTTTGTTTGTTTTTTCAAGATGGAGTTTCTCTGTGTAGCTTTGCGCCTTTCCTGGAACTCACTTTGTAGACCAGGCTGGCCTC